TCATTACTTAATCTGATGGTTCCCTCCAAAATTCCTCCAACACCCACACCAAGGCTTTGTTCTCTAGATTAAAAAAAATATATACAAATATCTACATAACTCAAAATGATATGAAATAATGATAACAAATTAAGCTATATGGCTAGCTATGTCAGCGGGAAATAAAGAGGAAGTGTGTTTCTCTCGTTCAGAAAATGATACAACAGCTCCTTTACTGACAGACACAGAGAGTGACTTCCACACGACTATTGCAATGGAACGAAAACGGCAAGAACAGTGACAGAGACAAAGAGGATGACAATGACATTGACGATCACTGTCAAAGACATGAAAACGACGATGTCAATAACAGAGCGACAAAGGCAATGACTGATGATAAAGAAAATAACATTGATCGAGACAATAGCATTGTCAATGACAATAATGAGGATAAAAAAACTTTTTTTTTCGTCTTGTCACAAGCGTGGGACAAAGAAAAAATTCTGAGTCCCCGCTCGGAATCTAACCTCAGACCTTCGGATTTCGCACTCCGATGCTTTACCACTGAGCCACAGAGCGGTGAGCGAGGTCTGTTACAAAGTTCATATGACACGCGTCCTAAATACTGCTAGGATCAGCAATGTCGATACATTAATGTTTGTAGATAGAAATAAGAGAGATGGTAAATTTTTGAGGATGGTAACAATAACAATGAAAGTGCATGACAATGAGAATGATGATGACGAAGATAACTACATTTACTAAGACAATGGCAATAACAATAACGCGGCATTGATAATGACAATGATGATGACGATGACAATCAAAACCGACGGTGACAACGAAAATGTCGACGATAGCAATGAAAAAGACGGTGAAAGTAACGACTACACCGAAAACGACAATGATGATGACGATCACAATGATAAAGACAGCGACAGTGATACTGACAATTATGTGGACGATGAAAATGTTATGACATTTTCAATTGCGAAGACGAATGTAAATAATGAAAGTAGCATTGAGAGTGATGAGGACGATAACAATAGCAATGATCATTATGATGACATCAATGATAGGGGTGATGCCGATGTGGATGATGTCGACTGGAATCCCCATTTATATCATTTGAAATGCGAGGAAAATTTCCGAAATTATGTTCAGAACGTCTATGAACAGCTTCCTTCATAGATTGCTTTTTCGGATATGAATGAACAGTAATGTCAACTTTCATCTCGTAAGTGCTTATTTTTAAATGTTCGAGTTAATTTTATTTTTTTTAACTTTTGATGAGTATTTTCATCTGAATAAAGACCAAGTATTATCCTCATTATAAGAAGAATGACTGAAGGCGTTCGAAGAATACACCTTTAAGAAACCTCCCGTGAATGTTAAAAAACAACACGGCACCGGGAGCTATACCTCACTTGCTTCAACTCGTCGTCCGGTAAAAACAGTTTTGAAGGCAGTGAGAAAGCCAGGACTAATTACAAAAAATTGCGGTTGACTTTCGTGATGTTCTTGCCAGTACTTTTTCTTATTTTTTTGTATTAAACATACTTTGTTAAGATGCAACACGTTGATGTGCCATACACGAAAAAATTGGGTCAAAGAGTGATCATACCTGGATCCCATGGCAATTGTTTCGTGCGGCGATGAGATAAGCATTTCCTCTTTGATCTTACATTTCGCGTATTCACGAAACACTTCAGTATCTTCTTCACTTTTAACATATTTCGCCAGTTCTGCAAGGACTATGACTTCCAATTTTACGAAAGGTCGCTTCCATAGAGGCCGATTCTTTTGTACCACCATTGTCAGGGGTTGTACCCTATCGATTTCACCGTGAAGTGCGGGAAAGTATCTATGACTGAAATTTTCCGCGGCAAACTTTCTCAGTGACTCTTCCATGATCTGAAAACAAATCGGAAGTAAATCGATAGTCAATTCACAATGCATTAAAAATTATTCGGGTCAAACCCACTGTAGTAACTGTCATTACATTAATATCATAGGGACCCATCAGAGACTTTCAATGCAACCTCTAATGTAGACCAATCGGGTTTTACTCTTCCTGAATGAGATGTTAGCCTATGGCAGGTTACCCTTGCCTTCGTCTGCTTGTTGAATTTTTTAAAACAAAATTTTACGGGAAGAGTGTTGAAAAAATTTCCGATTCATTATCCAATTGATAAAAACCCTTAAGCTAGCTACATTTCTAAAGTTCATTTACACTCCAGGGTGGGGGAAGGCATTTTGTAAGTAATGCATCTTAGGAAGAAATGAACACAATGACCTGGCCAAGGTTCGGATCTACAGCTTTTGAATCGGATCCCAGGACTTGATTGGATCAAGGGGGTGGGGGAGGGGAGTAAATCTGCAAATGTCTGTGATCAGTCAAAATTGTCGCCATTTGATAGCTTTTAACTAAATTTTAGAACAATTTTCATCCAAACTTTTGGATAGTTGACAGTGGTCAGTTAGCTCTATGCAGACCCTCTAACTGATTTCTTAAGCATGGCTTCAGTTTTTCTAAAACATTTGAGCTTTCCCAACAGAACATACTATAAAATCAGTTTTAGTATGGCTTTGCCGACAAGGTATTTTGACGTATAATTAGTTGGCATTTCTTAAATCGACTGAGAATCTCTAATATCACCGGCAGGTGATTCTGTGTCTCGCACATCATAATATTTTGCGTTGAATATAATGCCTTTTAAGATATTTTTTTGAATGTTACTATCGCCGGATTTTTCAAGATGCTTATCCAACTTTTTCAAATAAGGAAAAAAAAGGAGAGAGGGTAGTTTTACTTCACGACGAGTGTGTCTCTATGCTCACCGCTATTGATGCATGACTTCAAACATCATCATCTAAAAATGGACCCCGTAATAACGGGGAAAAGCATGACAAGTTACAGCTGCATTTTGAGTTACCGTAACTCAACACGCAGCGGGCTAAGACAGGCGGAATACACTGAAATAATAACCCGTAAAAAGTCCACAACAACCAATTAGAACTAGGGTGATCATCTCAATTTAATGCACACCAAGAATACGTAGTTGGAACAGATCGAAATCAAACGTCACTTCTTTCATTTTCTTCGATAAAGGAAACAAAATATTAAAAACTAACCAAACATAGCAAAAAACCGCAGATTGTGCCAACACAGAACGATTGTTCTGGAATCAGATAAGTTCAAATCCTCACATTGGAAAAAGGCTCATCTTTGATTCGAAAACAGTCCTCGCAAAAAAGAATTCTTAGTCTATCGTAACGAATATAACGACTTCCATATCATATTGTTGATCCTAACGGCACACAGAATGTTCATCACGTAAGAACCTAAACTTTATAATGTGACGTTTAGCTTGAAAATGAATTCGCTGTTGCTCATTTGGTAGACTTTTCGACCCGGAAACCAGAGTTGATCAGAATTCTAATCCTTGCGGAGCACTAGCATTTTACTAGCACTCTATATATCGATAAAATTCTTCATCGCGGGACCCTTTATAAGCGACTAACGTCAGAAAAATGTCAGACGGAAACGAACCCTCACTGGCCTTTAGAAATGTAGCCAAATTCAGGGGTTTTGTCATTTGTCGGAACTGGAAGGCTAGGCTGGTCAATTGGATAATGAATCGGAAAATTTTTTCGACACTCTTCCCGTAAAGTTTATTTAAAAAATTCAATCAAAATAGTGAATCAAGACAATTTACAAATGTTTTCAATGATATGAACAGATGTTTATAATTATTGGTGGAACTCTGTTTATGAATGGACGAGTCCGATAAATCGATCCCTTCGACATCATGTGCGAATATTTGAGAATGCGGGATATCTGTCACAAGAGAGAAAAATTTTCCATTCCATGGAATTTTTTGTACCACCTCGTTACATTCATAGTTAAAGCCGTTGGCTCTTAGGCAGGGATATGGTTTGATTCTCCTTAAAAAACTCCTTAGTTGCATATTATGGCAAACTATGATGATAATGTTCAAATTCAACACCTACCTTTTTAAGTAGGAATGTTCAATTTTTTTCTGGATGGCTCCAGCTCAGGTTATCGTGAATAAACTCATGAGTCAATGAAGATATCAGTTTAGGAAAAAAATACGGGCTATATACACATGATCATCTGACAATCTTTATTTCGGTTTCCTTCGAATCACGTCGGCTACTGGTTTTAGATTCTAATAATATAACAAAGCTAATTTTGAGATACCAAAAGAAAGTTTTCATCACCCCTTTGATATCATTTTCGTAGCGATTACGTTATTGCACGTCGAATTGCACGGCAGTTTTGTTTTGTTTCAAGCTAAGTACCTGATGTAATCACGCCGGCAAAAAACAGAGGTTAATATTATTTAAACCAAGAAAAAAACTGAAACAGAAAAAAATCATTATCCAATGATGTTGGGTGTTTTTTCCATGCGTCGAGGTGTGTGACGGATATATTTTCAGATATACGTTTCTGACGCTCCGCTAAAACCTTTCGAAACTTTTTACAACTTCCGAATGAATTAAAACCGCCGGAAAAATTAGAATTACTGCCGGAAGAGTTACAACGTACAAATCACCATAGCAATGTTAAGAAATCAGAGATGTCAGACCTTACGAGAGAGATACAGAATCATGTTTCCTTTTCATGGGAATAATTGGGTTGAAAAAAAAACAACTACACCAGGAAGTATTTTCAAATATATAGCATATTAGCGTAGTTTACAGGGCTGCTATTTCAATCTGATGATTGCATCTATCAAAACTGATCACTTCAGGAAGAGAAGGAAAAGTTAATCTCGTCGCAAACTGGAACAAAATTGATTAAACAAAAATTCTCACATCTTTTAAGGAGTACGTGTTTCCCCTCTTAAAGGAATAACAAAATCAGAACGTAAATGGCAGTTGAAATATTAAGTGACGACCTGTTCTGAGGCAGCCAAAAGCATTAATCATTTTATTTAGCCTCGAAGTTGTTTTGTTTCCTAATTTCTAAAGCACGAGGTATGTAGGAGATAACTTCCATTAGGTCTTTGGGTTTTGTAACAGGTCGATAGATCGCCTATACCCATTTATACTGATAGCCGAATAAGAGAGTTCTTCGCAGTCTAACTATTATAGAATATCTTCCATCAGTATATACCACTCAGGTGAATAATGCTTTCGCACGCGCTCACGCACCATTCACCTCTGAGCAGCCGAAGAGACAAAATCGCATGTCAGGAGTTCAAATTTCGACAAATTTTCGGTCAGTGTTGGACAAAGTGGTGGATAAATGTGGAAGTGGTGGATGAAGTGATTAATTCACCGAGCCGCTTTGCGGCTCGGTAAGTGTCCACCACTATTCATTTCCACTCAGGTGAATAAATGTTGATTAACGTCACAGGTTGAGGATACTGATCTAGTTTCTTCTCAACTGGCTTAAACTAGTAAGCTGCGAATGACATTTTCCCCTATAATAAATGTCAAACACCCTCGCATTCCACCTCTATCTTTAAATTTGTCTTATATGTCGGCGAAGCTGTGTAGCCGAAGTTAGGGAAAATTGGGGTGTAAACATCAAATTCAGTTTTGGTAGCATACTTCTTTTTATGAAAATTAAACGCAATAGATTCGGCAAGATGTTACATAATTTTAATTTTGGTGCAAAAGTAATTTTTCCATTTTAATTAGCTGCGATGTACAATGTTATCAAGAGAAAATCATTTATTTGCTCGTATTTTTTTTTCGCAAGAAAGTCCTTCAAAAGTTACTCAGAAAAAAAAAACGAATGATGGTTACGGTGAGAAGAAACATTTTTGGGTGATTTAATTTTTTCAACATCTGTGTCTCTAACGTGCTGTTTAACCCTTTAACTCTCAGAAGTGATTAATGTGTAACTTCTCCCTCTAACATTCATGCATTATCCAGCAAACGGGTGATGAGAATACTCAAACTTTATCAAACAAATCAAATAAATTAAATAAATCAACTGCCATATACTCTAAGTCAAAAGTTGTGTTGCATGTATGAAATAGTGTGCCCCTTCAAAAATCTACCTTTTTGTAAACTTTGTTACTGTGTTTTTATTTTTTCTCTTTTCCAACTTAATCCACTCTGGACCTGAGCTTCTTCAGTTGAATCAAACAAGGCTTGAGACCTGTTTCGGTCTGATTCAGGACCATGTACTAAAGAGACCAATGGATCAAGATACATTGTAGGACTTCTATTAAACTGAAAGAGTAGGTCTGTGTTGGTTGGAGCGTAGTTTGCACTACTCCTAATTAAGCTGACAACAACACAAGATAGTTTCTGTAATCAGTTTGTGGTGTGTTATCAATCCAGGATTGGTATTCGATGCTAAGCGTGGGTCTAAATCTCACAAAGCGTTGGTGAGGTTGAACAACCTTGAAAAGGTCTCTTAGCTTGCCAGATGACTCTCTAAATTGATTCTCCTTCTCTTCCAAGCCCCCGTCCTTCCACAAACAACAACAATTATTAAAACAAAGACACACTTGGTAGAAAATAACATTAATTTAATGTTGTCTCTGAGGTTTATTTTATTTCCCCTCTACAATGTCACTTGATTGCCATAAATAATGCACAAAATGAAGTGCTTGAGTGTTAGAGAGAACTAAGCAGCACATAGCTCATATCCTACTCTAGACCTGATAACCTTGATTCTGCAGTTTTTATATCTCCAAAAACCAAGTCCATTCTTTCAAACGTATCCACCACAAGGGCATAGGTCTGATGAAACACACAACATACAAGACATTAAAAAAAATTTTAAATTTATCTAATACAAGTAAAAATAATTTGAAACAAAAAAAGGGCTGGAATTCACACCCATTGCACGAAAACCTTTAAATGAGGATCACTGCATGCCTTTCATTGCCATGATTCTATTTCACTGTACTTGTTGAAAGACTATCAAGAACTAGATTTGCTAAAATGAATATGGCTTGTGACAAACTACTCCTAGTAACAGGTAAATTTGTTGTTTCTTTCATTCATTGGTGGGTTTAAACCAAGAGAACTCTGAACTGTAGCACAAGTAATCAATATATTTAACAACAAGTACAAACAATCTTCAAACCTGCGTAAAAAGTTTCTCCTTGTACTTTGCTTCTAAGACGGGGTCGACAGTATTTTCAATTGTTAATCCCTCCACACTGACTGGGGTCTGAAACACGTGAAAAATAAATCAAAATCCATGTCTCAGTACATCATATACCATAAACTTTATTTTCAATTTTCATTCAACTTCTGTGGAATTTCCAGAAGATTATCATCCTCTGAATAAGCTGTCACTAAAGTGACATGTCGCCCGATATAGACAAGCAGTTTAGCAGTCGAAATGTTGTTTGTCACAACAATCGATAGTCTGACACAACAACGTGAGACAAATGATTAGACGTTGATTTAACTATATAATCATAATGAACAACAACATCTTTAGCCTAAAACATAGCTGCATGTTATGTGCTTTTCTGAGCAAATTTAAAAACTGAACAGCTGTATTTTTATTCTCAGGTAAATAACATGTAACTTATCAACTGACTTTGACAAATATCCCATTAACCAACTGATCACAGGAAAGAGATTAACAATACATGAAATGTTTTTTGAAGGATTATTTGAACATTCAAGGAAAGTTTAGTGGTTTTCCATGATTCTATGGAAAGAAAACAAACTATTTTAAATTGCAATAAATGCAACCTAGACAATTTATAGTACTGAAAGAGCTTAAAAACAAAACAGTAAACTAAATATGAAAATTGTTTCGATCTAAAATATTAACTTTTTTTTCTGAGAAAACTACTTTAATTCCTAGGATTAAGTTGCAAAGGAATTTAAATTGCCAAACTGTTTAACAAAAAAAAATAAAGGAGGACTTTCTCATCAAATTATTAGATATTTCTGCACCAATAAGAAATTTCTCACCCCAGTCCTTTCTGCGGCAGCTTCACTGAGAGCTGATTTGGACTGTGATGATGGTGTGCTAGTACCTATCAAGGGAAAGAGTTGAGATGAAAACTGTTCTGAAGACATATTGCACTCGTGTTGCATGTAGAGTTCCATTGTTTATACCTTATATGATTGTAACTCAGAACAACTAATTAATGGAAAAATACTGTAGGCTTTAGCCTAAGCATGTTTCTTTTTTTTTTCTTTTTAATTGAATTATCACAATTTAATAAATTAGATATTGTCACCTCTTCCTGATTTTTTGGCTGATAACTTGGAGCGTTGGGTGGAAGTTGGACGATCCTTGCAATTATGCAACACAAAAAACAAACATAACTTGGATAAAGCTTAAACCCCCAAAAAATGTGATATAACTGTTTTAGATAATATGGTATCTTACATATCTTGATGGATTTCAAACTATGGCATATGACAATTTCAGGGTCTATGGGTTCACAAGGGCTTAAACACAGCTAGGTTCCTAGGATGCATTTTTATATTATCCTTCCTCACAGTTAACATACAGTGTAGTCTTACAAAATGCAGTACACATTTTCTAAATAAATTTCACTAGCACTTTAAGTGCGGATTGTGTGCATTCTTTTGGTAACAAGTACACACGACACTACTAACAAACAAGCCAAGATCCATTTTGAAATGATAATCTTCATGTTCATGATTTTCTTCACTCTGAAATATTTATGGCAACTGTTACAACAAAACTTAACACCAACAGTACAATTACATCAATTTCAAAATTCCTTCTCTAAATTTGAGTTTTTTGTTTGTCTGGCCCAGTGGCAAAAAGTTAACTAGAGAGACTGGATACAATACACTAAATACTGAGTGATTTGTTAAGTCTGTTGGATTTCCAATTTTTTAAATCAGGCCTAGTAAAATCATCATTGACGACAAGGGTTCTCTGTAATTATGACATAGCTCCTGAACTACAGTACTGGACAAAATCTAAACTCACAATTTCAGAAAGCTTTCCTCCTCTCTTGTCTTTTTTATCTCCTTTTCGACTTTCAGCAGCTTTTGTTTCAGAAATTGTTCCTTTGCGCAGTCTTTTGTCCGCTAATTAAAAACAAAAAAGCTGAATAAACTGAGATTTCACAAATA